TTTCTGGATCATTTCTAGTCTTGACTCTGCTCCACCACTGTCTCAGGTCAGTCACCATGGAACACCTGGGCAGAACTGTCCTACTTCGTGGCCCCGCAGCCTGAGTGCTGGACTGACCTCCAGGCTTGCCCCTGGTGTCCCCTGGTATTACTTCTGCTCAAACACCCACTTCCAGGCCATGCTATCCAGTGTTCTCCAGGCTATGGGCTCTGGGAAGGCCCATCATTACCCATCTCCAGGACCACCCTGGAAAGCAAGGCCTAGGGGAGAACACCTGTAGGGTGACTGGTGTAGGTCTGTGCAGTAGAAAGGGCCTCAGCACCTGCACTTTCCAGGTCAGGCCTCTGAGGTTGGTCAGACAGTCAGTTGGTCAGGGAAGAACCAGCAGAGGCCCAGGGTGGTCTCTGGCTCCCTGTCCTGTGTCTTCCACAACCCATCCCTGACACTTCTTTGACCTGAGAAGGCCTGTGCTTGCTCTCAGACAGAGAGCAGGTGGCCTGTGTTCTCTGAGCGCTCAGATCCTCTTGCATTTGTCTTGAGCTACACACACCTGCCTTATTCTTTGAAGGACTCAGGTACCACCCATAGCAATGTTCTTTCTGTTGTCTGCACAGCGGAGTTACCCAAACCCAGCATCACAAGCAACAACTCCAACCCCGTGGAGAATGTGGATTCTGTTGTAATAACATGTGGACCTCAAACTCCGAGCACAAGCTACCTGTGGTCAGTAAACAGGATGAGCCTCCAGGCCAGTGCCAGACTGGAGCTCTCCCTGGACAACAGGACTCTCACTATACACAGTGTCACAAGGAATGACACAGGACCCTATGAGTGTGAAACTCGGAACCCAGTGAGTGCCGGTCATAGTGACCCATTCACCCTGAATGTTCTCTGTGAGTAACTTCCCTTCCTACCTGGCCCGGGCTGCCAGCCCAAATCCACATGCTGGCGGCCAGGCCCATCCATCCTTCTGGGGTCCAAGTCCATGAATCTCAGCTACACTTCCAGGCTGACCATGGCTTCTTGTCTCAGGCAAACCTGGGCAGACTCAGCCTAAGCCAAGACTAGGAGGAGATGGGCTGTTCCTCCCTGAGAGGGTCACCAGCCTGTGAGGGGAAGCATGTGAATGTCTCAGACCCAGGCTTAGTGAACCAGGGGGCTTCTGGTTGGGACTTTTTAAAATGAGGTTGGGACCCAGCTCAGAGGGACACTGTGGCCCTAATACACACCAGGAGCTTTGGTTACCCTCAGATTGCATCACCTGTGGCTTTATTCTGTTTGCTCCAGATGGCCCGGACGCCCCCACCATTTCCCCCTCAGACTCCTATTACCATCTAGGGGCCAAGCTCAGTCTCTCCTGCCATGCAGCCTCTAACCCGCCCGCAGAGTATTCTTGGTTTATCAATGGGAGGCCCCAGTCATCCACACAGGAGCTCTTTATCCCCAACATCACTCCGAATGATAGTGGATCCTATGTCTGCCTCGCCTATAACTCTGGCACTCGCCTCAATAAGACCATAGTCAAGACTATCACAGTCTCTGGTAAGTGGATCCCTGGAGCATCTGCATGGATCGCTGTGGCGAAGGTCTGTCTGGCT